TTTTTGAAGCTGTACCTGAAGGCATTTATTACATTCTTTCTTGAATAGAGTGGAACACTGTGGGAACAGTAAAAATATCCAAGTGATCTACTGTAACTGCCTACATTCTTACACTACAAAAAAGAAGCTTGTACATGAATGAAACGTTCTAACTTCTTTTATCAAATAAAAAAATGGGAATGCAGATTTCAGACATCCTTTAAAATGGAGTACAACAGTGCCCGCACCTTTTTTCAGTGGCCTTGGTTCTGAGAGTATTCTTACAGTCATTTTTCTCATGGAAATTAAAAAAAAAAAAAAATAGTAATTGAAGAGTTCTAACAGACAAAGGTACAAAACTGTACATAACGGCTTTAATGAGGCAAAGAACTACAATCCCAAGAAACATTGTGAATGACAAATTAAAACTGATTTAATTTTTTATTTAATATAAGTAGTTTGAGAGTGTAGGGAGACTATCACATCATTCACAGTGTTTCATGAGAGTGGGTGGGCCCTAAAGTGTTCTTTCGATTCTCTGATTGGTGGATATTTTTTTGAAGAATCATGGGTAATGTAGTTTTTCACTAGGAATTCCGCTGCTAAACACGATTATTTAAAATTAAAGAAAGTTGAAATTATGCAGTCTGTTAGCTTCAACGAAAGCATATACCACAGATTATAACCTCAAAGCTCACAGTAATGCTGTCTTTTAACGGTTTAAGTTACCATCAATTCCCTTGAATTCCTTCATTAATGAATTTACTGCCAGAACCCTGTTGCACTCTATAGTGAGGTTAGAACTATACAGTTAATTAATTCAAAATAAACTGGTAGTATAATGAAGTGCCCAACTTGACCTACCGGTTCCTGCTAAAGGGACGGCTAAGGTTGAGAGAAGTTGAGCCAGTTTTGTAGTGTCCAGGTGAGCTAAATCCATTGACAAAACCACTGTTGGGAAAAGGTGCCTGTGGAAAACGGAATCAGTTAAAACAATGAAATTAAAAAAATCATTACAACAAAAACGATTGTTAGGTGCATCCCTAGTCAAACTAGAAAGACTTACGAGGGGTGTCTCAAAGTATGGAGTCGGAGATGGCGTCCAGGTAGGAGGTACTATGCCGTAGAGTGGGTACTGCTGCTGGGGGCTGTAAACAGGCTGCATGAAGAGAGGGGAGCTGTACTGGGACTGAGTGTGAGATTGCTGAGGATACACACTGCAGTCCAGGCTGCGGTAACCATTCTTCGCAAAGAACGTGTTGATGGCTTTTATTCTGGCCTAAGAACAGGAAACGGAAAAAGGTAAGAACCCACCTGACATGTATAAACGAATTTAATGCTGCACATTTTTGTAAAGACCTTACCATGATTGGTTTTCCCTGAAATGTCTTTACTTCTTCCCTTAAATATTTGTATGCCTGGATGGAGGAAACCCAATTAGTTTCAAATCCAAGGGTAAGCAATTTGTTTAATCTCTAAATAAAAGCAGAAATTCATACCTGTTGAGCGTCTGTATCCGATTGGAATGTAATGTACCAGTTGTTGTTGTGTGCAAACTCCACGCTTATTACCTTGGGACAGTTGTCATTCTTAAACAAGGCTTCCACTTCCTGATGAGAACAACAAACATGCACATAAATATAAGAGGATCCTAAGATAGCCACAGCTTCTACTTCTTGATAATATTTCTCACCTCAACAGGTGTTGTTTCAGGGACTTCTCGCAGAATGATGATGCATCGCTTGTGATTTGGCCGCACCTTTTCCCCTTTTTCGTCAACTTGAACCATCGGAGATGCTGTAGGCGGTCAGAGCAATATTCATTTTTGTACTGTGAATAAAAATACTGGACCATAGATGTAAAATGCAGGCACGTACATCTGAGGACATCCAAGATGAGGTCCGTGTCAGTTGTGAGGACCTTGATTCCTTCCATGCTGGCAATAGTCCAAATAGGGACAAACTGGTCACTGTCCATTTGAGATATTAGGTAAAGATCCTTAGATAAGTTCTCCCTGTGGGATGAAAGAGGAGCATCGGTAAACGCAGCTGATGGGAGGAGAATGGCCGTAAAGTGCTGTTTACTTAGTTGCATTAAATTGAAAGCTTACATCGCATTACACGGCTGCACTTACCTGGAGAAACAGAACTCCAATTCTTTTTTGAGAGACTCACGCAAAGTCTCTTGAGAGACAGGCTGTTCCTCAGGGAGCTTGGACTCCACTGCATGTAAACAAAGAGCATAAACAAAGGTAAGTGTTTGGCAAATGTCTGCTGATTGAAAACACCAACAACAGTTAGCAGTGATGGATTTAGGAGATTTATCTAATTAACATGTACACATGAAGCGTATCGTATTTACATTACATACCATTAGTTGCTGTAGTGTGCTCAGAAACCGGGAAGCTTTGGTCAGGGGGGTCCATACCGTTCACCACACCTACTACAGTACTAGTGGTGCTGTTGTCCTCAGGAGTGGAGAAGCCGGGCGTGTACGGTTTACCTACAGAGTTATCTATGTGAACAAAAACAAATGACAGATAAACAATTAAAATCATAAATACATTAAATGAGATTTTATTATGTATTTTGTGTGTGCTGTGGTACTCTCCATAATGGAGGCAGAGGGTGACTCGGGGGGCGAGGAATTGTTGAATAAAATAATTTTAGTTTTTTTTTTGCACACAAAAAGTATTCTTGTAGCTTCATAAATTCACGGTTGAACCACTGATATCACGTGGACTATTTTGTCAATGTTCTTGGTACATTTCTGGGCTTTAAACGTGGTCGGACCCTCGCTATATACAGGGTTGGGTGTGTTTTTTGTTTTTTTTTCTCGATACCGGTGCCAAATCAATACTTTTAAAACGGTTCCGGTGCCTAAACCGATACTTATTAAAAAATAAATAATTCCCCCAAAAAATGATGGATTGGCCATTAGCACTATAAACACATGATGTCTGTTTCATTCATACTGGACGCCAGAGGGCGCCCTCACACAGAAAATCCACATATCCAGTCACAGAAGTAGAGAACTCATGACCCTCCAGGAAATCCCTTATATGGACAAAGACATAGCTATTCTAGCTGTAACTGAGTAAACAGAACATATAAAAGTTTTGAATGATAAAACAAAGACAAACACTCGACTGCGACAATATAGTTTATCTGTGTTATTTAAGCCATCTCTGGTATTTTCATAATAATTAAGTATATTTATAATAGGGTGACAGTAGGGGGCGGGGTTCGTGGGCGGGGCTTCACATAACAGTTTAAGTAGCAAGGTTTTTTTTTGTTTGCTTATTTTGTTTTTATAATCAATAAAAAGAAAACAAGTTGAAAGAATAGAAAAAGAATAGGGAATGCTAGTGTTAGAAGGTCATTATAATAAATAAAAAGAAAATAAGTGGAAAGAATAGAGAATGCTAGTGTTAGAGGCTCTTTTTTCTTTATAAATAAAACAAGTAGTTAGAATAGAAATAGAATAGAGTGTGCAAATGTTAGAGGGTCAAGTTATTATTAAAAAAACAAGCAGATAAAATTAGAAGTAGCATTAGAACAGAGAGTGCTAGAGTTAGAGGGTCAAATGAAGATGAAAGAGATGTGTTTTCAGCCGTTTCTTGAAAATATTAAGGACTCAGCTGCTTGGATTGAGATGGGCAGGTCATCTATTGTCTAAACTGGCTATATGTATGGCACAACATTGGGAAAAAGTCATCTGTCTGCACATGTACACAGACCATCAAAACAAATGCTTCACAACTGCTGTTTAAAGTTTGGGTTCAGTCAGGCTTTTAAAAATAAATTAATACTTTTACTCAGCAAGGATGCATTAAATTGGTCAAGTGACAGTAAAGACATTTATAATGTAAAAAAAGATTTCTATTTTAATGGTTTAAACAAAAATTTAATAATGTTTCTTGAGCACCAAATAAGCATATTACAAGGATTTCTGAAGGATCAGGTGACACTGAAGAGTGGAGTAATGACTGCTGAAAATTCAGCTGTGTCATTACATGAATAAATTACATTATAAAATAGAAAACATTAAAAAATTTCACAATATAACGGTTTTACTGTATTTTTCATTACATAAACATAGCTTTGGTGAGCACAAGGGACTTTAAAATGTTTACAAAAAATCTTATCCACCCAAATGTTTGAACAGTAGGGTATATGCATTCTGGAAAAACACTAACAAATCAGTTGCATGGAACTGAGATTTAGAACACAAGGAAATTTCCTTTACCTTCAGCTGTATTGTTCTGGGACCAGGGGGAGGCCACATTGCCATCCACAGGAGCTTCACTTTGTGTTGCAGGGATCTCCTGCCACACCTTGGCATTAGGGTTCAGACCAGCTCCTTTAGCAGTGACCTGGAATAGAAGGAAATGCAATGAATTCATTAAACCTCAAGTCTTCAAATGACATTTTATAGTATAAGCATGGTTATCTTGACATTGCTTATTCTCATTTTTTTGGTCTCTCTTTATAGGCATGAGATGCAAAACACTTCGAGTGTCGTTCCCATGACACCAAGGTTTTTTTTACATGTCTTGAGTGACACTGAGAACAATGACAGATGAGCCCACTTCACCTCCCCTCAAAAGCAACCCAAAATGCCAACGAAGAAAGCCAAGTGCTTAACCAGACATGAAAGATGGTACTTCAGTTAATGATAATAATAGTCTAATTTGAAAACATTAACATACCATAATACAGAAAATGGGGCGTTTGTCACAGATATGAATACTGTGCTGGGATTTCTCTTTGCAACTAATCAAGAGTGCTTAACTTATAAGAAATTAAAGAAAAATGTTAAAATGGTATGTATTGGTGGGAGAATGAACTAAATAAATTCTCAGTCAACACCTTCAGTCAATACTAACACACAAAGGCAGCACGAGGTGAGCAGAAATCACATGGGCTCATGTTTACAACACATGAAGAGTCAAAACTACCATTTTATTATTGGTCACAAGGCCTCTCATTCAAGATAGCAGCAGTCTCTATAGCAGAGGTTCAATCTTTTTTGCCAGTAGTTCCACAGATTGACTCTTTCAGTTCGAACTTGTCTGACAGCTCCATTTCATCCTAACAACAGACAGCTTTCACATGACTAGAGCTGATCCAATACAACAGCATTCTGGCGAGTGTGATTTTGCTTTTATACAACAGTCAAATAAATAATTCATTTTGAGCAACATTTAAAAAAAACTGTCTAGTTAACATGTTTCTTCTCCACCAACCAAAAAAATAGTACAAAGCATGTAGTTTCAGGTCTGGAACAGCATATGTGAGTTACAAAGAGTGTTTCAGCTCCAGATCCACGCCTGTCTACCCCCCACCCACCC